TTGTTGGGCATAAGTAATAGGCTTCTGAGTATGCATGATTTGACCAGTCTCATGCACAGGTTGCACATGTTCAGGATTATGCTCAATAAGATGGCCAGTACCAAAAACTTTCAAGAGTCTAGCTCTTTGATTAATTTGAATATTATTGTTTGTTCTAGGAACATTTTTTGGAACCCATCTCTGAGTTCTGGCCTGTCTTCTACAAAATATAGTATCATGTCCCAATTGCTTGCACAAATCTCACCATCTAGGCTTCAATTCATAGTGCACCATTTGATTAAGCATTTTGTCATTTGGTCCTTGTATAGAAATATGATCTGGAAGTTGAGAATGCATTTTAACTTCAACTAAAATTCTAGCATAAGCTAGTCTCTGTTCATTAGCCGTGAGTTTACATGTGGCAATTGGCTTACCAATAACACTTGTAATTTTACTCAAGCATTTAGCATTCCACAAGTTTAGTTTTAAACCTGGCAATTGAATCCACATAGGATAGTTATTTTCAAAGCTCTTCTCAATTTCATCCTCAATAGTCCAATGCTTTAGGAGAAGGGGTCTTGATCCAAAAATCCAAGGGCCATTTTCAATAATATCCCTCATTTATTCTTTGTTGTTGAATTTGAACATAAAAAGCCCTGATTTAATCAACAGTACTTCAGGATTAGCCAATGGAGCCCAAGCTTTCTTGACAAAATTCTCTATAACTTTGAATTTGGCATTAAGGCCTAAAACCTAGCCTATGAGGGAAAATTTCTATATAGATTCTCCTTCATTCCATTCTTCTTCTTCAAATATCACTGAATCTTTAGAAATTGGTGGAATAAAATTCAAATCCATGCCATTTCCTGCCTTTCTATTATCAACAAAAAACTAATCCAGCTCTTTTTTCCATTATTTACAGGGAGTTTAATCACATACCAATTCTCGACAAAGATGATCAAGTTCAACGTCAACTCAACGACACGAGATAAGTTCAAGAAACCAATACATTAGTTTCAATTCAAGACTTCGACAACGGTCAGACGATAAACGTAATGCCGAAAGAATTTCAGCTGTTCGACAAAATACTGAATAGACTAAAAAGTAAAGAAGTCGAGAAATGAAACTAGTTACAGGTCCTTTCGTATCGACTGAAGGTGGGGCGTATCACATCCAAAGCATTTCAGACACTTTTATAAAAGAAACGAGGCTGAAACACTTTGGAGGGAGTATCTGTAGGTAACTAAAAATTCTTATAGGTTCCCACATGCAGCTCGAGACGTAGAGGAGGTGATAAACGTCATCATTCAAGTTGAGGAGGTTTATTCGAGTGGTCCGTGTGCTCATCGGCCACCACCAAGTGGCCCACACGCTCATCGGCCACCAAAACGACCAACCAAGCTTCTCGTGTGCTCACCGGCCACCTCCAATTGGCTCACGCACTCATTAGCTAGTTCCCAAGTTGGCCCCGCCTACTCACCGGTCACCGCTAGTGGGCTTGATACACTCATCGGGCCATCGAACGGTAGAACCAAGCGTCTTGGTGCTTCACCGGCGCCACCTTCAATTGGCTCGCGCACTCATTAGCTATTCAGTGCGCCCGCGTACTCACGATCACCGTCAAGATAGCCTATGCGCTTCATCGGCCATCAGAACGACGAACTAAGCCGTCTCGGTGCTCACCGGGCCAAGTGGCCCGCGCACTTGTTAGCTAGCTCCGAATGGCCCGTGTGCTCACCGACCACCACCAAGTGGCCCGCACACACATCGGTCACCAAAATGGCCAACCAAGCATCCCGTACGCTCACCGACCACCTCCAATTGGTCCGTGTGCTCACCAACCAGCTCCAAGTGGCCCGCGTGCTTACCGGCCATCAAAACGGTAAACCAAGTAGCCTGCACGCTCATCGACCATCGCCATGTTACCAAAACGCATGAAATGAATCGATGAAGTATACAAGTCAACAAAACAATAAAATACGCATAGCGGCGAAACAAGTCAAAACCCGAAAGACTGAAATAGCCGTTGGCGGTCGAGTCGCATCGAAATAACTTGGCCAAGAACCAATAGCTTGGCCTAGACCGAGGTTCGGTTCACTTTGCATTCGGTTCGGCTAGGTTTGAGCCAAAAACACGCTTTTTGCGGTTTTCGACGAGTTTTCACGGGATTTCTTCTATTCCAGAGTTTCCTAACTGCCTAGATATTAATTCCAAATGTGATTACATGGTTATTAACTGAAGTAAGGCTGAATCCATTATTCTTATCCGAAAACCCCCCAACCGAAGCCTATAAATACAAGCCTGGGGGCTCATTTCGGAGGGTAAAAAAATAATCAAGAAGGGGAGGTGCTGCTGGTTTGTGAGTGCATAGCCATGAACTTCAGAGAAGGTTAGCTAGATCTCGGCGATCTTCTGTGCATAAAGAGTGGATTTCGAGAGATCTGAGACCCTTACCCCCTATTTCTCCGGATTTAAGCTTGGTCTTAATCTCGAGAAGAGCCGTAATCTCGCTTGGTCAAGGTTACCACTATTGCGATTACTTTCTTTGTTAAGTAAGAGCATTAATTATCAATCTGTCAACCGGATCTGATCCGCGATGGTCCACGGACTAACGCATCCACGGCACAGGCGAAGTTCCCACGCAAATAATAGGAGATAAACTGTTGTTGTGCTATTTGACAAGAGTTGTATTCTTTTTATTTTTATTGTATAAGTCGATCTTATAAAAAGATCTACTTTTCTCTTTTTTTGAACTTGTAGTCGATAAACGGTTGTAATGAGTTCGTTAGTAATGAAATTAACTTTTGACCCAAACATGGAGGAGGGACCGTTTGCTTCCTGTCAGGGCCCTCGACGCCTTCTGAATTTTAGATCTGCTTTATAGCAGATCCCGTCAACAGGCTCCAAAGCCTTGGTGAGTTAGCACACGAGGCGTTGATACTGTCTTTGGTGAGCTCTTTTCGATAAAGTGAGTGTACATCCAGCGGCTATCTCCTTGATTGAGGAAGAGTCCAGATCTGTAGATCCGACCTCGTTGAAGGCTAGAGGGACATTGCAAGACGAGATTACAGCAGTAATGGGGGCCTTGATCTTCTTGTACTTGCGAGGGGCGGAGAATCTGGAGGAAGAGGACGATAAATACTCCTCGAATTTCTGTTGATCGAACTCGTACTCGACCTCTTTGTCAACCGGGATCCGAATCTGAGGTTGTGACACATCAGCCTTCGCAGAAAGACTGTTGGCTCCCACTGTGGTCGCCAGCGTGTTTAATTAAAAAGTTAGTTTTTTCATTGTTATAGAACCAGTTACAATCGTTTATCGATTACAAGTTTAAAAATTAAAAAAATTGATCTTTTTATAAGATCTTCTTACACAATAAAAAATAAAAGATTACAGCTTTATCAAACAACACACATATCCTATTTATTAGTCTCTGTTAGCGTGGGATTTTTGTCTGTGCCCTGTGCCGGGGACACGTTAGCCCGTGGACCGCCGCGGATCAAATCCAGTTGACAGAAGATTGATTAAAGCTATTACTTCGTAAAGGAAGTAATCGCTAAAGTGATAATCTCGACCAAGCGAGATTATGACTCTTCTAGAGATCAAAACAATGTTTGATCCGGAGGAATGGGGGAATGGGGCATCAGATCTCTCAAAATCCATTCTTTATGCATAGGAACTTGCCAAGATCTAGCTAACCCTCTCTGAAATTCGTGGCTCTTGGCTCTACAATTCGGCAACATCTCGCCCTCTTTGATTATGACTCACCCCCTCTGCAAGAAGGCCCTAAGCTCGTATTTATAGGGCTTCGGATGCAGGGTATTTGGATAAGAATAAAGGATTTGGCTATATGCTCAGTTGATAACGGCCTAACCATGTGTAAAGATAATATCAAGTCAGTTGGGAACCTCTAGAACAGATAAATCCCGTAAAACCCTCTTAAAACATGTCAAAACGCGTTCAACGCTGAAATCTGGTGGCCGATGAGCGTGTAGGCCACGTGGCCGTGGCCGGTGAGCATGCGGGCCACGTGGCGGTGGCCATTCCGGTAGTTTGTTACTACGTCGTTAACGATTCACCAATTCGTTTCATGCGTTTATCGGCGTCGGATAATCTTCATTGACTCGGATAATGACGTTCATCATCTTCTCTCCGTCTCGAACTGTGTTCGGGGACCTATATGCAATTTTTGATGCCTACAACTTTATTACCATAATTGATTTGTCTTTTAATTTACGTTGTCTCTTTAGTTTGTATCACTGTAAAACATTAACTTCAGAATAGCTCTATAACACATACATGGTGGATGAAGGACAACCAACATTGTTACAGTGGAAGCAACAGAACACATAGGCTAGCCAAGAGAGAGACGACAATAGTGTCTTTAAGCTCAGGCTCGGTGGTAAGGAAGTTGGGAAGCTGCCTAGGGAGAAGGGCCGCTTTGCTTTGTGATCTTGGTTTCAATAAACGTTTCTGCAGGATACGCAACAGTCCCTATATGTTACTCGCCCCGGTCATTTTGATTTCATTACTTTTACATTTGTACCGATTCAAGACTATATCCCGCAAAAATCCCACGTGAAGGGAATGATTTCATGTCCCACTGGTGTAATTCTCTATTGCGATTGGTTTTATACTCGTTGTGTACTGATGATCGATAGAATATAACACTGGCCAAATTAATTCTTTTTTGTAATTAATTATTGATATCGCGATCAGACGTTCTTCTCTCCTTCCTCACCATCCGTACGATCTTACAGTTATTTATTCGGCAGTGAAAAGAATTTTTTTTTTACCGTCTTACGGTGATGCCTATATGATGACTTTACGACATGACGAGTACCGTTACTGCTCCTACACTCGATCGCTTTTGGAATTAATTATCACCCCAGGCCAAAATTGCTCACATCCTCATCCGTTCTGCCACCCCCCCATTCCTCTTATTGCTTTATAAGGCTCGAGAATCCAGAGAGCCCAACCACCAAAAAGGCATCTCTCCTCCCTCCTTCCCTCCCTCCCTCCCTCCCTCTCTCTCTCTCTCTCTCTCACACACACATCTCGTCAAGTCATGGCTTTTGTGCTCCCCAACATTAATCTCAGGGCTTTAATGAACACAACATTCCTCCTCCTCTTCTTGTTCTTCACAACTCCGACGAGCTCCCCTCCCCCTTCTTTCAAATTGACCAGCACCACCGCGAACCATCAACCCAATAAGTTCCTCTGCCTCAAATCCCACATCCCATGCATCTCAAAAATCTACGTCGGCTATCTCCACATCCTCTACTACACTTGTGGGGCTTACCCTTCACTGGGGCACACCATTCTAGCCCTCTTGCTCGTAGCCTTGTTCCACCTAATATCAAGAGGGTACTTGAGCCTATCTCCTACGATATCTAGTGTTGCCGACGTGTTTTCTAGCGTTATCCCGTTCCGTTCGACCTCAAGGGAGGCTGTTGGATTGAGCAACGTGCTCAGTGGAGGACTATTCGAGTTGTATTTTCTCTATGTTTTGATCATCTGCGCTGTGTATTTCCATCATAATGGCAAGTATCGCGATTTCGATGGGGATAAGGAGCCGGTCTCTACCCCGAAAGAATCACCTTTTGAGAAAGGTACGTATAAAATTGATTGCAATCATTCTTTATTTAGATATTTTACAAATTCATTATTTTTCATGTGCAAAAACATCCACGTAGTACTATACGCTTCCTCGATTAGGACTTGTAACAGCATGTCCAAGCTTGTCTTCAAAAATATGGGTTTCTCTTTTTGAATCAACTTAAAATTTCTCTTAAACATGGTTCGTAACTGCTCAAACGTCCCTTCATTGCCTAACATAGCATCAGAGTCATGTCGTTCTCGTCTTAGCAATCTATAGTTGATCATCTGTAAGATAACATGTGACCCTATATTTGTCATTTTTCCTCTCGTAGGTGTTAATGAGGAAGAGGATCCATCAAGCTACTACGTCATGTTCAAAGCAATGGCAAAGCACTACATAGTCTGGTTCTCGGGTGCAATTTCACCCAAGACGAAAAAGACGGCGCACCCTAGAAGAAAAAGAATGCTCTCATGGCTCGCAAGAGGGGTCCTAACGAGTGTTCTTTGGACTTGCATTATAGCTAAAGAGGTCGCAGTATTGTTTAGGATTAGCCCTTCAGTGTTAGGGTTAACAGTTCTTGCATGGGTGAACTCCATATGGGACTTAATTGCAAATTATGTGTCGGTGGGGGGGAGTGGGGCCCACATTGCCCTCTCTGGGTTCTTTATCGGGCCTATCATCAATGCCTTGGCGGGGTTAGGCTCATCACTAGTGGTTTCAGCTTGGAGTGAGCACCCCATGCCCTTTGTGATCCCGGTGGGGCCCGCATTGTTTGAGATTCTAGGGTTTTTGATGGCAGGCTTAGTTTGGGCTCTTGTGATCTTGCCAAAGAGGGACATGAAGCTTGATAAGGTACTGGGGGTTGGGCTATTGGCTATCTACTCATGCTTTCTCTCCCTTAGACATTCACAGAGACTAGGGTTATTGCAGCTTTGATGATCAGAACTTCCCTTTTCTTTGTATTTTTGTAGCTCAGGGTATTAGTTAGACTTTAGAGGATTATACGTCTTTGAGAGGGTCTTTTTTAAGTTGCGCCCAAATCGATGTATAAATAATTGCATGTAAATCCTCTGATTGACATGTACCAAATGTAAGTTAGCTGATCTAGTGCTGTATTTTATTTGGGAACTAATTTGACTAGGAACTTACTTGGGTAGTTTGAGAGTCCCTTCTTGTATCATGTAAGAGTGGATTTGAGATTTAAGCTACTTATCTTGGAGGTGTTTAATTTATGAGCAATAAGTATGTTGCGGTCTCCTGTAACTTTGTCTAAAAGAGTTGAATTTTTCTTTTAGATTGAGTTTGGAATGCTATTGATCTTGCCTTACAAAGTTGCATTTCTGTTTCAGTGTTTATTTTTTTTTTTCATACACTACTAAATTAATGGACTACTTTGTTCAAATGCTAGCGGATTCAAGCTTGTAAATCATACAAAAGGGTTAATTTTAGGAAAAAACCCCTAATTGTGGGAGGTGTCTCAGATAAACCTAATCAACTGTGTATGGCGGGGTGTCTCAGAAAACAAATTTTTACACAAAACAATGAGGGTGTTACACGAAACACATCTTTACACAAAACAATGAGGGTGTTACACGAAACCCCTCCTAAACTTTTTACTTGCCTCAGAAAACTCCTGTGACGTCATTACTTTGAAATATGAAATGAGCTCAATATTCCTTTAAAAAAACTCATTTCAATTTAAATAAACCTTCTCCAATAAAAAAAAGGGCCTGAGCCAATGCTCTCTCTCTCAAAAAAAAAAAAAAAACTCATTTCAATTTAAATAAACCTTCTAATTAACCAATAAAAAAAGGGCCTGAGCCAATGCGCACGCTCTTTCTCTCTCTCTCTCTAAATTTAGGCTAACTATTTTATAAGAGAAGGATATCTTAGCCGTTTTAAGTCATGTCCCAACATCTCTCTCTCTCTAAATCTAGGCTAACTATATTATAAGAGAAGGACATCTTAGCCGTTTTCACTTAGGTACAAATGTTATGTCCAATTTTAATTTTACCTCTAATCTGTTGACGAAAAAAAAAAGTCTCTTACACTTTAATTTATTACAACTCATAAACTATTAAATACTACTAAATATTCAGTGTAAAAATCAAAATCTTATTCTTACCAAAGATTACATAAATTTTTTAGCTAAAACTTACATTAAGAATTAAAGTGATCTCAATCTGATAGACAAAATAAATAAAAAATATGTAATAAATTGGATGTTAGGTATAGCTTCTATAAAATTATAAGCCTGATCTAAAGAAAAGTCTGATCCAAAAATGTATCAATCGAGGAGAAAAATCAGAAAAATGTTAGAATCAACATTATGGTTTAAGTTTCTTACCTTCAAAGTGGATTGGTCCAAAGTAGAAGAAGCGAATATGCAATAGAGAGGGATAAAGATATTAGAGATAATGAATACCCTAGAATTAGAGAGGACTCTGTTGTTGGGGTATTTTATCACTATTAGGTCGCGTGAGAGAAAAATATATCACGCTGCAGAGAAGTAACTCTCTATGAACTATACTAGGTCAGGTTTACACGGATGTAAATAGTAATTAGAATGGGTAATACAATTCGGTCGGTTCGGTCGGTTCGGGTTAAAAAAATTTCAACCCGACCCGAACTGAACTCTAATAAAAACCGAACCGAACTGTTAAATTTTCACCGGGTCGGTCCATTTGTTCGGTTTGAACCAAACTATGATCACCCCTAGTCGGAGAGGAGGGGCTTTTTTTTAGATACTCCAAGAGGAGAGTTTTCTAAAATTAACCCTATATATAACTATGTTTTATGTGTATGCACAAGGTATGTGAATCAATATTGCACATTTCTTTTAAGTCATCTTAATTGTTGTGCGGTATGTTGCAATCGTAAATATAACAACTACTACATGTAGAAAATATTTCATGAAATATATGTTGCAAAAAATTAATCTCAAATATTTCTTTTGGATTTGGATTTTTCATTTTTACTATAAAAAGTATTTCATCATAAAAAGTATTTTTGCCATTGGAAATGAAGTATTTGTTTATTCAAAATTGTAAAATAACCTATATATATTGTCTGATTTGTTTTAAATATTTGATGATGTGAAATTAATATTTAAATTTTATATTATAAGATGACATGTATTCGTTGTGGCTAAATTGAATATACATCATTATAGTTGTTTGCGGAGAAAATTGATTGTTTCATTGCGGGATTCATTATAAACTTCAGATGTTTACAACAAATACAAAAATCAGTCTTTTTATAAGACTTTTACACAATGAAAACAAAAAAATTACAATTCTTTTCAAACAAACGCAACGAGTGTTTATCGTCCACTGCTTGCGTGGGATCTTGGCCTGTGATGAGGACGCGTTAGTCCGTGGACCACCGAATGATCAATATTTGGACAGAGTTTCGTCTATCCACGAAGGGATCGAGAAACCGTAGCTCTTATCTCGGCGAAGCGAGATAATCACTCTTCTTAAGATTACCGCAACGGGATAATCCTAAGGAACGAACCGGGCTACAGATCTAACTCCTCCTCCTCTCTGAAATCTGTGCACTTTAAGTCTTTAGTTCAGCAAGGCTTCGCCGAGGCACGAGAATTCCAGATCTGAAAAAATGAGGCTCCAGGGGCTGTATTTATAGGCTTCAAGGAGATCCGGGCGGTTAAAACCGCGTAACGGACATATTTAGGGTTGGAGACACCCCAGGGTGTCTCAGCCTGGGCCGAGACACCCTTGGGTGTCTCAGCTTGGGCCGAGACACCTTGGGGTGTCTCGTTTGGGCCGAGACACCTCGGGTGTCTCAACTCAGACTGAGACGTTTTGTTATGTATACTTGTTCGTTTCCGCCGTAACTTCTTCGTCCGAACTCGGATTTGAGTGATTCAAAGTGCGTTGGAAAGCCGACGAGGAGATCTACAAGCTCCGATGATTAGATCATTGTGGAGTCAACTGGGACACGAGGAGCGTTGCACCTTTTGTAAGCGACGCGGGGCTCCCGATCAATTCGTATCCTCGTTATTCTGAAACTCCGTTGCTTCACGTAGTTTGTCGATTCACTTCAATCGTTTGTCGACATCAATAAAGCTTCTGTGAAGTGGATAGTGACGTTCATCATTTTTTCTTAGCACTGAGCCGTTCGTGGAGATCTATAGGCAATTTTCTATGCCTACAGATACCCCCTCCAAAGCGTTCCAGACTCGTTTCTTTTATAGAAGAGGCTGGAATACTTTGGATATGATTGGTCCAGCCTTCGATCAGTGTAAAGGACCTTTAATTAGCTTCAACTCTTGGCTCCTTCGATTTTCAGCCTATTCGATGCTTTGACGAATAGCTGAAGTCCTTTCGACGCTGCGTTTATCAACTGGCCGTCGTCGGAGTCTCGAGTTTACTACCGGTGAGTTGAGTTTGGCTCGCGTCATTGAATTGACTTAGAACTGGCTATTTCCATCACATCGGCTTTTTCATTGCAACGCCTTGATTGGCGTTGACCTAGGGTTACACGTTGATCGGCGTTGACCTTAGGGTTTAAATCATCGTACGTTGACTTTTGGTCGTAACGCATTAACTAACGTTGACCTAGGGTTACGCGTTGACCGGCATTGACCCTAGGGTTTAGAATCACCATACGTTGACTTTTGGTCGCAACGCGTTGACTGGCGTTAACACAGTTTATACTCGTACGTTTACTGGAGTCTACACAGTTTAAGTTCTTAAGGTATTAGAGCATGACGGTCCTAAATGTTGGGGCTACAGGACCAACTGTTAAAGCTGATTCATCTGCATGTATGGATCTTATCCTGAAGTTGTTGGATGCTCAAGTCACGAGACTAACTAGTGGAACTGGTGCGTCAATGACTCACATTTATAGAATTTTTGGTAAATTCTTAGCCATCAACGGGTTTGATGAGCCTTTACCGACTACCGTTTGAGTCGAGCTAGCATACGGATTTTTTAAGTCCGTTCCACATGTGACGTTGTGCTAAAGGAATGAACTCTCTTAGACTTGATGCTACGACTTCGAATACGTAGCCTTCGCTATTGTTACGGGAATAGGCTACCCGACAACGCATGTTAGGCGCTGACTTATCCTTACTTAGGATTCAGGATAAAAGTCTCCAGACTCGGATTCTGGTGTCTTCTTTAATCGGTAAAAGACTAAACCGACAACGTGTGTTAGGCGTTGGCTTATCCCTGCTTAGGCTTCGGGATAAAATTCCCCGTGCGTGTGAAGTACGGATTTTGGTGTTATTAATAACAACCTGCCATAATATTGAATATGTGGGCTTTTGTCCTTTTTACGGTTAAGGACTAACCGGCAACGCGTGTTAGGTGTTGACCTATCCCTACTTAGTATTCGGGATAAAATTCTCCATACATAAAAGACATGGATTTTTGTTGATACGATGCTGAATACGTAGACTCGGTCGTTTTTTACGGGAACGAACCACTCAGCAACGCGGGTTAAGAGCTGACTTATCTCTACTTAGGTTTCGGGATAAAATACCCCAGACTGAAATTCTGGTATCTTTTTCAATTGGTGAAAGACTAAACCGATAATGCATGTTAGGCGTTGACTTATCCCTACTTAGTATTCGGAATAAAATTCCCCGTACCTGTGAGGAACGGATTTTGGGAGTTGAAAAAGTGGTGTCTTCTCTTTGGGCAAAGACGAACCCGAAATGAGAGAGGAAGAATTTTATATTCTATCTCCCAATACTGAAGAGGAAGAATTTTATATTCTATCTCCAGTTGGAAAGAAAACTCAAGATGGGATCTCCACCCCTAGAATCCGAAAAGGTAAAACTAGGAGTGGTATCTCCACTCCGAGAATTGAAAAGATTCGGATAAACCTAACTATCGGAAGGTTTGATTACCGAACTAAAGATAAATTTCTCGTTTATCAAGAGTGAATTATGGTTTTGGCCCTAACTGTAGGAATGTTTGACCAAGTGGGAGTTTGAGATGACCCTAACTGTAGGAAGGTTTGATCACTTGATTTGAAAGTGGACCTCTCGTTCATTAGAGGAATCAAGAGGGGATTTTGGTTTTGGCCCTAACTGTAGGAAGGTTTGACCGAGTGGGATGTTTGAGACGATCCTAACTGTAGGAAGGTTTGATCGCTCGATCTGTGGACCTCTCGTTCATTGGAGGAATCGAGAGGGGATTTTGACCATGGTCCTAACTATAGGAAGGTTTGACCAATTGGAAGGTTTGAGACGATCCTAACTGTAGGAAGGTTTGATCG